GTCATACAGCACCTATGTATACATACAGTCTACATTAGTCTCAGGGGAGGTTGCAATGTTTACACCACAGTTTACCTCTTGTGAATGACTGTGATGCTGCTAATTGGTACAGCCATGAATGTGCCCTCCATGCTTTGTGGGTGTGTATGATTTTGTCTGCATGTAAGAGTTTGAGTTTGAGTTTGTGTGTGTGTCTGCGGTTGCCATGGGGAGAGTTAATACCAGGGCTTTGGGAGATGCTCCTCTGAGTGTCATTACTCCCAGTCCATGAGTGTTGACACCATCTGTAGCCTTACATCCAGTCAACATGGATCACAATCAGCTCTGTAGTTCTTAAATCTCTCTCTCTCTCTCTCTCTCTCAAACTCAAACAAAGTTTTGAAAATTGCTTTGTAGAGCACCAGAAGCTCACCTAGTGGTTGATTCCAACCTGTGGCCCCTTGCTGCCTGTCATCCCCTCTTTCCTGTCTATCTTCAGCTGCTACTAGCTAATAAAGGCAATACAAGCCCAAACATTCTTTTTAAAAAAGAATGGTTTTCAAGTGGTAAATTTGCCTCAGTTGAAACGTTGAATGAACGTTGCATGTCGTCTTCTAATTATGAAAAACATAGTTACCAACTTTTTCAAAATTGGAATTATAAGAACCTCAAGGCAATAAATAATAGTACAGTACACAAATATGAAATACCTCAAAAGATTTTGTTTTGTTCTGTGGACTCCATAAGTGTGAAAGATGTTTTTTGTGTTGCCACCTTTGATGAATTATTGACCTTTCCTTACTCCACTGGCCTCACCCTGTATCACACAGAGCAGTAATAACCTGAAGCAACAATATTGCCAAACCCATAAAGGGAAACAATTGAAAGTAAATGAAAAGAAATAAATAAGAAAAAATGAATTTATAGAAGTGTAAAACTTCTGCAAGGTTTTTCATCCCTGAGGAGAAATTGTCTCTAAAGGTTACATTTTGTGGCTGAATGCAATTTGAGACAGCCACATATTCACAGCAATGTTCAAACTAATTGTGATTTAATGTTACTGGCCAAACTCTGAGGTCCAGTCTTTCACGGAGCTGACACACTGACAAGGTTAAATACTAAACTGATTTACACCAACCATGCTAACTGTAGATAGCAGGCTTTGATTTTTCAGTCGAGGCGAGAGGGGAGACGGACGGGGAGACTGCTGTCAAACCCAGCAGCACTGAGGATATCACGCAGCACAGGGCTGCTCTCGCTGTCATTCCACCCATGGCTGTCTAGACACATCAAGAGAATTGGGCGCTGGAGTACTGAAAGATAACCCGGTGACACTTGCCGATCCCTGCACTTACATCCTTCAAGCATCGAACCGCATCCAGCGGGTCACCCAGTACGAGGGGAACTCTTGTTCATCCACGGTGCTGGCTCAGACTTCCCTGATCTGCTGGAACCCCACAGCTGTCAGCATGTGCAGATCGTCGTTTTAAGGACATAGCAATTAGGATCTCCCTAAAATCGTTTTAAAGCTGAGCAAGGCAACTTTAGCACTGGTGGTCCCAAGAGAAAACTATAACTGGTGCAGTGGTGGAAGAAGTATCCAGATCTTTTTCGTTAAATACCTCCAAAGTACAAAAGTACTGTATTGCAAGTGAACATGTTATTCAGGTAAAAGTGCAGAAGTTTTGGAACCTATTAAGAACCTATTATGAAGAGTCTGCGAGGCATTGATTTGTTTTATGGAGTCACAACGTAAAAAGATTGTAAACCACAGCATTA